GCTTCGACTCGAGCTTCCCAAGGGACAAGTTTTCCGATATTTTTCCTTGTAATGTACGAGGGAATTCTCCGTCACCACGGGTTCCCCAAGGTACACTTTTGAACAATCCGGTATGGAGTGTTCGGCACCCAGACAGGGTTGACACATTTTACGGCATATAATTTACTACTAAAACCAGTTTATATTGAGACGCTGAGTCGAATGGTTCCAATCAGTTGGAAAACATGAAGTCTGAGCGATCAAGTTTTCGGAAGTTTTCATGCAAGAGAGCGTTTTCAACATATCAAACCTCATCTCATTCAATGAATGCTAATTTTTGATTAAAGAGGTGAGGGAGTAAAGGAGGATAGCCCATTACTCGTCAGCGGCGAGGGCCGCACGCCATTCGTGTAGAAGACCAACGTACCATTCCTCACATTCGGGGAATGTAGATTTGAGAGTGATTCTTTGGATTTTCGCGCACTGTGAAAGAAAAAGGGCCTATTTATAGTTAGACTCTTTGGAGGCCGCAAGCTGCTGATCTTCAACTTCGCGAAGGGATTCTTTGACTTGAACACTGTACATACATGGCGGAGTTCCAAGACTGAAGCATTGCGATTTGCTAAAGAGATCGTAAGTGGGAAGTCCTGAAAAGCTCAACTTAAATGGCTTATGTAAGGAATCCGCTGTGATCCGGGAGAAATGTACGGCCGGAGATGGACCGAGTAGAGGACAGACCGATGTGATTTACAGCGGGTCTAATGGTAGAAGTTGGAATGAAGTGACTTTTCGATGTCAATACTAAAGAAATGAGAACTGAAGATACGACTGGGCCCCCGTCTATATTTTTCGAGTCAAATGCTACCTCCCTACAGAGAATCCCTTGACGCACACATTTGTCTAGTCAAGCTCCCTCTAATTAATTTATTGAATACTTACGGTAGGAACAGTCCTCTGCTTACCAGCTCTTTCAGTCTAACAGCGACTTTTCCTTTGGCGTTCCACCTCCCACGCTTCCATCAACTTTCACCATGTATTTTCTAACTTCATGAAGCCTCACTTCATTAAATGCCGAATGACCGTACCGGATTCCTGTGTGTGAACACGAAGCCGCCCAGGCAGCATGAACGGACGATTCATAACCGAAGAAGACTTCGCGTCTTACCAGGAAAGAGAAGTTCTCTCGCAAATATATCAACCATAGGACTACGGTTTTGTGCTCTCCATCCCTTTTTTCAGCCCCCACCTTCGGAGACGGTAGTGATACGCAATGTGGCTTCTTGCTTGAATAATTGGACGGAATGTTTCACTGCACAATCGGGGTGTGGAAATCCATAGATCTGTTCTATGGGAAACTGTGTAGTCGTAATGCGTGACTTGAGCGGAATCGACTTGTCCTTCCTTCATTTGTCATGATTTCCACTGCTTTTCCTTATCTTTAGCCACAGAGACGGCTAGCATCCGACTAGATATGAGAATTTGAGGTCTTCATTTTTTGAAGATTCTGCTCTACTTCCCTTATTTGATAAGTTTTTCAAACCGGCAAGTGAACTTTCATCTATAATATAATCTCCATTTTTTGAGGGATGACTACCTCCTTTGTTAAGAAGTCCACTGCTTGATTTGTTTTTGTTGAAAAGTGCAAATTGATTGTTATTTGTGGAATACATTTTGTCAAGATATAAGTTATATGACTGATACAAAACAAAGTATCCGATACGGAAAAATTCAAGATGAGCAATAATTCCGTTTGTACTTGTAGGTCTATCCACTTGTGGAAGAAATCATTGTTTCGACATCTTGTCCGAATGTTAATCGTCCTTGTCACCAATGATAAGGAAAAGCAGTGGAAATCATGACTGACGAGAGGACAAGGCGATTCCGCTTAAATTGCGCATTACGACTGCATAGTTCCCCATAAAACAGATCCACGGATTTCCACACCCCGATTGGGCAGTGAAACATCCTAGTCAATTACCTAAGCCTACGAAGCCACACCGCGAATTATTCCCAGCATTCAGGAGAACAGCTGGAAAAAGTGGAACAAAACAGATGCTTCTTGACAATAAAGTTAAAGGCGGATCGCTCGGTTTCTTTCTTAAAATAGGTCTGAAAAATCTCTAGCTGATAATGAAGCACTAGTAGGCATAGAGCAAAATCCATCGAAGAGCCGTTCATCAAGCAGCAGGCCATTCAGCTGCACACTGACGAATACTGCTAAACATGCGTACTTTTCGCCATGTTTTCTACCGCTGTTTTTCAAGTTTACTTTGAAATTCTTTCTGTATTTTTCTAGAATAGAATGTGTAACAAAGTCCAATCCACTCAAAAACCATTTCGGAAAAACCATACTACAACAGATTTATTATTTTCAATCCATGAAGAAAGACGAACGATTGCTTTTAAATCTGGTGTACACGATAATATCAGCATTTTCACCAATTACGTTTGTAGCAAAAATCAAATAAATACAACAAAATGGAGATCCTGTTGGTAAGATCGCAAGATAAGTTAAGAGATCATTAAGAGATTGTGATAAAGATCGATATCGGGGATCAATCGGTGATAAAGTGCAATCATGAAAATATCAATTATCAACAAAGAAATCAAGCTGATTATATCAATGATATTAGAAATCAACCAGATCCTGACTGAAAATTACCCGTAATGTCATTTAAGTAAAACGATAAATAGAAATTGTTAACTGTACACATTAAAGCTTTGCGGATGCAATGGATTTTTCAGAGAAATTCAAGGCTGACGATCAAGATAAGGAATTAATGAAATCACCTAAGACTCAAAGAATCCCATCAATCTGAACAGGTAGTTTTTGAAGGCCCCTGTGAAGAGAACCTCGAAAAAGGACCTGCCCAGCACTGATAAGGTAACAAACAGAGCTGTAACATTAAGGGAGAACAAAAAAGGCTGAATCAACCATTTGCTCTATACATACCACTCCTTGAAATCCTTTTTACCCACAACCCCTCCCCCTCCACCGCCTCCTGCTCCATTCCTCACATGCCCATTCATTCCATTGCCATTTGTTATAAGGGCGCCTTTCATCGACTGGTAGCCATTACCGTTCATCTGAACACAAGCAATGATGTTTCATATTACCGAAAAGACTTGAAAAGGATTGTTGAGGGATACAAACCTGCGGTGCTGGCCGACCAAGAAGTGGTTGAGTGGCATGATCGGCTCCCAAGGGAGGTGAAAGCTCCGGGGCGATAGATGTGTAGCCTTGCTGACTTTTTCCATTGCATACCTGGAAAAAATATCATGCGACCTGGACTGCGTTTAACCAGCTCCACTTTAGGATCTAGTTCTAGCCTTGAATCATCCCTTTTCAAAAAAAAAAAATTAAGAGAAAAAATGCAGTAAATAGGGACACACAGAAAACTGAAGACAAAAAGTTTGGAAATGTGTACCATAGATTACTTGCAGAACGTGAAGACTTTTGCATTGAAAACCAGAGGATCGGAGTTCAAAAAATGAAAATGTCATTGAGTTCGAACTCGTTCCTTCCCCAAAGCTTTCCTTGAGCCCTACCTCTTCCCCACCCTTTTTTTCTCTAACACGTGCTATACACACTTAACCCCTACTCCAACCCGAGCAAATAGTTCGAGTTTATCAAGGGTAACAGAATTCAAGAAATTCAGTGCGAGTCCTTGATCCTCTAGCTTCCCACCCCTCACCCATGTCCTTGGCCAGGGCCCTTTTCGACGCGTCGTCTAACTGACGGGTGAGAATTTCCCTATCAAAATGAGGTTAGGCTGTGCCGGATAACTGTAAATGCCGAGAGCCCGTACTGCATTTTTGTCCTGAATAAACGTTGTGGGTGGGGTGCATTCTAAACGTGGCATTGATTGACGGCAAAACTTGATCCCTCATCCTTCTTGGTACACGATGGGCTAGACATCCTTTGCAGATTACCAGTTACATTAGGCTTATTCGAATTACAAGTAAGTGGTAAGCTGGACTTCACAGGATGTAGTGAATTACTAGATGACAGGGATCCCTTTGCGTTCATTTGGCCCTGTCACGCTACCTCATCTATCTAATTTTACGCTGACTTTTCAGACCAATCGCAGGCACTGAGAAATGCCATTTTCAAAAATAATTAGCCCCGAAATGCGACGATGTTCTGAGGCTAGGTCCTTACAAAAAAGAATCCATTCCCTTTTCGGTTTACGGTATAGAAATTGCATCGTGACGATGCTCATTTTCTCTGAGAATTTGTTCTTTTCGTTTTTCCTAGAAATTCTTCTCATTGTCGCACGAAATTTGTCATTTCATAGCAGCAAAATAAAAAACCGAGCATAAAATTGATTTTTTTGGCTCAGAGGAATCAGATAATTGTCTAAAAGTGAAGATGATGAAGAAGAGAATGAAGAGCATGTTTAAAAGGAGACTCACCATTGGGTAGTGGTCACTAAGGGGTGGACTTTGACGGCAGCGGAACACGCAGAACACGACGACGGCGATGACCATGATCACGGACACGGACGCGATACTTATCAGAGCTGTCCGAGGAAAATCCGCCGCCTCCGAGGCCTAAACATCCATAATTCTATCGAGGATTCTACCTTTATCATATATAAATAATTTTATTTCATTTTCGTCGAATATTATGTAATTGGACTCGACATTTCCTTTGTTCTTTTTTATTTGCTCAATATAAATTGTTCAAACTGCTTTTGAGTGCGATAAAATATAAGTAAACTGAGCTCAAAACTGCGCAAGGTACTCATTTTGCTCATTTCCTCTGCCCATGTTGTCCTGCTTTTCGATTTGGAATCGTATCATGAGAATCGCTTGAAATAATGGTCTCTTTCAAGCTCCAAATAAGAACGATAATGGCCAAACACCAGTCAAACGAAATTTCAACCAACCCTGGAGGGCTAAACAAAAAGAGCAAAGCTTCAGTTTCGCTCATGACTTAACCACGATAAATTCAAAAACTGAAGCGGTCAGAGTGCCGGCTAAAATCCTCCACGCTTTTTTTTGTTAATTCGAATTTAGTCCTTCTTTTACTGAAACCAGTGGGTGTACCTGCTTTTGAGGTAAGAATCTAATTTTTTTCAATTGATGAATGCTGATCTGTTTTGTGATGAGACACTATGCATTTGACTTCTGTTTGGAATAGTACAGACATGAAATCTTAATGCCTATTTGGTTAATACGATGAAATGCAGGATCAGACGATACAAAAGGTATTGTTCTCTTTGAAAAGCCATCAATTTAAACAAGTGCTGAAAGGCTTCAGTATCCTTGGCAATTCCAATTCTCAAGCNTATTTCAACAAATCATTTAGTGGCTGAAACTCAATTTCTCAGAAAATTCGCCTTCTCAGGTATACATATTTCCTCTAATCTTTTTACACACCCTTTATTTTTCAAAAATACCCCTTCACTGCAGGACAGCTGTTCACCGAATGTGCTTTCCTCCTACTCAAGTACCAGAATGACTCTCTAACCACAGTCTGGTTGTTTCGAGCAATTGTATTACAGAAAGCCACCTCATGCCGTCGTAAACAAACACATATTACTCAGCACATAAATATCCTTGACTGAATTACCGCGTGAGAAATGGCGCTACGCGACGGCTATAGATCGCCCATGTAAGCAGTTATGCGACCTCGACACCTTCAGAACAGAACTGGCAAAATCGTAGGACAACAATGAAGAAGGTGAATGAGAGCAGAAAGCTGAATCAACGTAGGAGGTCTGCTACGCTATGATTTGTGATTTTTAAGAGCATCCTAGACTACTTCTATAGTTGATTGAGCCCCATTCTCCCATAAACCGTTATTAGCATTCGGGCATGGCTTTCCAGGTTTCGAGGAGCGCCATGACGACATTTCTGTTATTCTCATTCTAAACTGTTGAATGAATGACAGCAGTCTGTACTGAGATGGCTGAACCTTTCGAAAATAGCTCAAACTCGCACTTTAAAGGTTTCCAATAATGCCTCTTGAAGTGTTTTCAGAAGGAAAATAAAAGAATTAGACTCAAATAGCCACGTTACGGAAGTCTGAGATGATTACGTTGGATACACATAAACACAATACTTTCACGATTATTTTTCTAACGTCTTAATGATGTGAACCTGTCTTCAAAAGAGCAAAAAGTAGAAAAATTGATGATGGGGTTTTGACCAAATTAAAGGATTGAAGCGTAAACTTTGTCACGGAAAATTACTGGTAAATCTGTGAGAATTCGTGCGGGAGAAGGGTAGATTAGTTCCTCTTTCGGCATTTTGCCTAATTTCCTGAAAGAGAAGCATTGAAAGATTCAATTTTGACAATTTCAGTGGAAACAGGATATCGGAGAATGGCAGTCATGCCTAGTCGGCCCACGTAGGCCTATAGCACAACAATGAACAATAAGAGCATAATAAATTTCGTTGTGTGAGAAATTGCTTGTCGTAAGCTGCTGCTTGAGTTCAAAACTTTCGACGACCTACAGTAATCTTAAGGAATCTGAAGACTCTAGACATCTCTGTCAAAGGGTAATTATTGATTGCTGAGTGGTTGACGAGAAAATATTTCAAAAAGTGTCTAAAGAAAGTAAAAAAAGTGGAAAAGGATCCTGATGGCTAACCTTCATGGTGCTGGTAATTAAATCGCCCATCGGAGTTGTTGGGCGGACCGGGTAGACAGTGAACGACGGTGTAGTACGGGATTTGGCCAGTTTTGCCGTTGTCACCGACAGAAACGTGCTGAATGTGGCAGCTGTCGACGTCGACTTTTCTGAAACGCAGGAACATTGCACTTATTTCCGCCGCCTGACAAGGAAAGACGTCGCCAGAGAGACGTCACCACAAATGCCACGGTTTTCCATGCAGAACACGAAACATGCATGCACTAGCACGAACATAAAAAGGGAGAGTTCGGGGAATCATGACAGCCTTGGCGCCTGGAGGGCCAGAAGCCAATTTGCCGCCACTCATCGCGTTAAATGCCCACGTTTTTTGCTAGCCCCTAGGGCGATAGCTGGAAGTTTGGTGGGAACAGAATGGCTTTGACGAGTGCGCCCTGTTCTGCTTGCTGCAGCTATTATCGCAAAACCAAATAAGTCTGGGTAATTAGAAAGGCGGTATGAGACTTAGTTGGGGATCCCGGAAGCACCTAATGAGGATGTCGCGTTTGTTTGGAGTTTCTGGGAATCAGAATAATTCAATAAAACTGAAGTACGAAGTACGAGGAAAAAGAGAGTACGTGAGCACGGCTGGCACCCAGGGTTCTAAATCAACGGCCGCGGCTATTGAAGCCCTCCGTTTTCAGTCTTAATTGGTGGCGGAACATGATCATTACCAATGATGAATGCCTCCGAAAAGAAGCTTCGAAGAGAAGTGGAGCTCTCATGGATGGGAACATGTCAGTAGGCGAATCGGGGACGCGGCCTACCGCGAACGAGAACATGCATAAGATATTTGCTGCTGGAAAAAGCCGGCCTGCCGCACGATGCGGACGTCAGTTTCCGCCCGATTTACGCAACATTTGCTTCCGAGAGCACCGCAATTGCTTCATGGCGTTCGAAATAACAAAAGGGCAGCTTATTGGATACGCTTGACTGCTGCTGATAGGATGTCCAACGGAAAGATGTAACTTTAGGAATATACCGATTGGAAGCTGAAGTCCTTAGAATTGGAGCGTAGTTGGTGTGACGTTCCTTGGCCAGGGATGTCGACAGATGCCAAGATGGATTAGCCGAGAAGCCGCGATCGACAAGCGCGCTGTCTAAAAACTATTGAAAGCTGATGGGAAATCAGGCGAAGCGAAGATTCTGCGTGAGTGAAGACGTCAGCAGAAATGACAACAAAATCTATAAAACTATTTGAACAGAACTCTCTCCTAGATGGGAGAGAGGCGGCTGTTGGAGTGCACCGGAAACGCGAAAACCCGCAAATTGCAGGGGATTTGGCAGTCGCATGAGCACCTGCGTAAATTGCCGTCTGGCACATGACACCGAAGGGAGCCCGCTCTTTGGTCTCGAAAAAGCGTTTAAAGTTAAACACCATGAAACAAAATGGGCACCGATATGCGGCCACACCTGGACGTCGATGTCGTCGATGAAATCAATCACGTGAAAGGGTGGGAGCGACGAGGACCTATGTGCATTGCAGGATGGGCTAATATTGGCTGTAATCTGGGTCGTTGAACTGCCCACAAAAACATCGCTCGAGCTCAGGAAATTGCTATTGCAATAAGTTCACGGCTGGGCTGAGAGGAACGGGGAGAAAGCCGAGGAGATTGTTGAGGAGGTATTTCCAAAGTGCGACGCAAGGAGGTCTGAAAAACAGGCTAGCAGGAAGATTTATCGCCAATCTCCATGGGATTGCAGCAGCCGAAGGTTTCGTTCCAACAGCAGACCAAATAATGCTGGCCATAACTGGAGAGCAGCGGTATTCGAATCAAACTTGATGGATGACGTAGTAGGGAATAAGGGAAATCTGCCATTAAGGCAGATTTTGGAAGGGGAAGCGGAAAGTTTAATGGCATGCACGAAGCTGAGTAGTAGACGTGTAGTTCTTGCTTCGAAATGATAGGAAAGAATATAAGGTTCCTACAAACTGCCACTTTCATAGCTTATGCTGCTTGCTATTGAGAAGTTATGTTAAATGTCAAATCCTAGACATGGGGAACAGAGGAAGGGGTGCCTACAAGGGGAGCCACTGTAATTTGCGCATAACGCTCCGTTACTGCTCGGTCGCGGTCAGTCGAGGTAGTCAGTCCGAGCGAACACCCAATTTTGATCAATCTCATCTCTCTTCGAAGAACACATGCTTTCTGTTGAATTGATCAAAAGCATGCGGAAATGTTCTGCACTCAATAGCCAAACAACCAGCCAGTTTTCCCAGTATTATTAGAGTTGATTTCGAAACGAAAACGTGCAAATATGCACTGAACCTGTACTTTTTGCCATTCGAAAATGCAACGGAATGCGTTGATAAAACGAATTTGCTCAGACTATGTGGTCAATTTCCGTTTTCTGCTTTTTCGAGCTTGATTGAAAGCCAAGCCAAGCGTGACGGCGGAATTTTCAGGTCTCCTAGACGACGTCTGTTAGGTGAAGGAGCCACTAATCTTATCGTGAGGGAGTATTCTCTCGAAGAAGACGTTTTGCATTGGGGGTGGACATTTCTATGAAGAATAGTTGGTGATCACTTAATCGAGACATTTGCATTTCACAGCTTTTAGGGCCCCGTAAAGTCGAAGGCTGTATCTGTGGGCCGTTCCTTAACCAGCATTCCCCTTCTGGACACACCTAAGACGACAAAAAAAGATCGGTTTACTTAACAAGGTTTAGACCAGTATTACTATCATTGCCTGACAGTAGCGGGCTTTATCCTCTTATAGGGCCATATACTGATTTGAGTCAGATGGCTAACCGACAGGCTTTTACTGTTAGACGATATGCGAAGAGACAAGAGCCACTCGGCTGAGGGCATGCGCAAAAAAGAAAGCATTGCCATTTTTGTTTTGTCTTGTTTTCCGGAAGTAATTTCGAGAAAACAATATTTATGTATCATTGAGTTTACGTTTTCTTGAACTCTTCATGAGGTTTTTAAGTATGCTTTATTAGGCTGACCCCACCAACCCCACTAAAGCTCGAGACCACCAGGGCACGCAAGTGATTGAAAGGAGAACCACTAAACCACTAAAGAAAAGGATAATATTTATGTAGTTGATAACCGAGTTGAGGGAAGAAATCCTGGCAGTCCTTAGGTGAACGTGCACTTTCCTCCTCGTCGCAAGGCAAAGGGGATAAGATTCTGCTTGAATAAGCTAATGGGGATTGTCGTAGAAGAAGTCTTTTGCGGTCACGTCATTCCAAAAAACAGCCACCTGGAGTTTTGTGACTTTTAAGCTAAACCCCCCACTAGAAGACCGACTACTCTAGGTTGTAAAACCCCGATTCTAAGCCCTTGTTAATCAAAAACACTATTTATTGTTATATACTTGCGATGCATATTTTCCCAGGAAGGCAATTTTTTGCTTATTTACCCGATGAACCTGATCGGTAATGGAAGTCCGGCTCCCTGAATGATTCCTCTCTGAACTCTGTGAATCTAGCAGGTTCTAAACATTGTTCTTCAGAAAAAATTCATTTCTTGGAAAAATAGGTCCGTAAAGAGAGTTGGAAAAAAGGCTTAGTCTAACGAAGTAGAGGAGTAGAACTCATCCATAAAATTAGCAGGTTTCGATTCACCTTTTTGGTACTGTATTTTACATTCTGCTTTCTAATTTTTTACACTGCTGATTTTGAAGTTCTTTACCTTTTGACACAGCTATTTTAAGAATCATTTCTCACTGTAACCCGATAGCCCAACAACCAGATACCGCCAAGATCTAACCAGTCGAGAAAACCTCGAATATGATCCCATAAAATCAACAAAAACACGTTATCAAAGTGCTCAGCTGTAAGAAAGAAGTCTCACCGTCAATTGAGCGACGAGTTTTGAGCGTTTCGGTGGAATAGTTCGTGCAAAAGACGGTAAACCCTATTCCGCATGCACAAAATCACTAAATATGCCAGTATGTAACGGCTAAACTAAATGAGTGAAGGGGTCCGATTAACTAGGTGAGGTAGATTTCTGAAATGTTCAAAGAACTTTTTTTACCAAGACAACATCTTCTTACATCTCAACCTTCGCACGAATTCATTGTGAGACCCTCCAGATTGTCATTTCCATGGAGATTTCTTACCGATTAAGGGGAAAAATCTCATCCTCTTGACTCAAAGTCATTATTTTCGCCNCCTGCTCTCTATCTCTTAGAACGCAGAACACAGCGGGCTTGTTCCTTCGCCACATTTTCGCCTGTTGAGTATGTAATTACTCGTGAAGAGTAGAGAACACCCAACAAAAAGATTCCTCCAGGGCTTCTTTCTCTTTTCAAACCGCTGGCTTTGATGGTATGCCTCTTAGCACCCATCTTGTCTTATACTAGGAAATTCTTTAAACTCAAAGAAGGTTAAGAACAGATGTAAGAAAATTTGAAATATGCAGCTTCGCGCCTAGCTCAGAAAAATAACAAGACTTTTAAAAACCCCTTTACCTTTGAATTGGTTTCTATTCATTACTTTTCCTGATAATTCTCCTTTAGCGCAACCCTACACAGCTCTAGACATGAACTTCGCGACCATTCAAATGTTCTGGTTTGCAAGAAGAGATAGACATGGGTAAATTACTGGAATTTCGGTAGAAAATTTCTTTTTTTTCCTCTCAAATCCGACTTCCCGTTGGGGACAGACAAGCAATAATCGACAGTGATATTCACGTACATCAAAGCAGAAACTGAAAACGGCACGTAAATATCGGCACCCAGGTAGACACGAAACCTCTAAGAGACACACACACGGCGCGACACACCAGGAAATCAGCCAACTAATCGACAGCTCGCAGTAAGTAGTAGGAACTGAGGAGAACGTAGGCGACGATGACGATGACGATGACCAATCAGTTCTGATCGATTTCATGTCACGGTCACAATCGATCAACATCTACCAAAGAGATCACACAGCAAGCTAGTACCAACCGGCGAATAGCGTCGTCGTTGTCGTCTTCTGGAGCGTAGGTGGACGTCGTGTGGTCGAAGGCATTTTCCAGGTGCGTGTCGTCGACGTCTTCACCATCGGTGGCGCGGTCATGACGGTGGTCGGCCTGGTGGAGTTCTTTGTCAGATGAGTTCGCCATGCCGGTCCGGTTACCATCGGTTCGGGAAGTAGGTCGACACTGGCCCAGATGCTATCCCCTAGATAGTCTGGATTCTCTTTAGCTGCCTCACGAACGCTCTCATACGGTCGAGGCAATACGGTGACCGTGGGTGTCGTGGTGTGTTCTAGAGGTTTCGTGACTGGTGCTGCTTGCTGAGCGTCGGCCGACGCCTCGTAGTCAGCGTCATAGTCAGAAAGATAGACGACTCGAGGCGGTTCGGTCGCAATTGTAGTGGTTACGGTAGTGGATGCAGGAGTGGTGCTAGTAGTGGTGGTGGTAGCAGTGGTGGTAGTAGCTGTGGTGGGAGTGGTTGTTGTGGTGGAAGGAGTGGTAGGGGTGGTGGTTGGTGCAGGTGTTGTTAGCATGGTGGTAGTGATGCTGACAGGACGGGTGGACGACGACTCACCCTTCGAATGAACAGCTCGACGAGGAGCTGTTGCTGCGGACGGCAGGATGGGCGTGAAAAAACCTAAAATTATCGAGAATTACATGAAGATCCAAAGCATACTGACTGTTATGTGATTTTTTCCTTACAATTAGTAGTGCATCTATTTTTCTTGTTTTGTTTGTTTCAAAATGATTTCCAGATTGGCATTAAGTTATAATAAATAGCAAAACCGAATGAATGATGTAATAATTCTTGGGGGAGTACGCCATGCAACAGGCCTTCAGAGCTTGAAATTTTAATTGATGGCATTTAATCAGAGTGACATCTTGGCTACTGTACTGCAATAGTTTCCGAAGCATTCGATTGTAAACAAGGGCAGAAGAGACTCCTTAACTTTCAGGACGACAATGCAATTTTTTCCCAAGCAAAAACAGACCCATTGTTTCACTCGAGTCTTCCCTTAAGAATTACATTTCAGGATGCCGATTACGATGCGATTAGGATGCCTTCCACTGCATAGTTTATACTGTATAGTACAGATTAATTAATGATTAATGCGAGATTTCGTCAAAAGTGTGTAGTTCGCTACAATTTACTACTCGTCCACGACCGATATCCTGTTTTTTACTACTATTTTATCACTACTTACTCATCAAAATTGAGCGAAAGCGTTGCAGAAATTGGAGCGATTCAAAGGAAACGATTGAAGGTATGTCAATCTTTTGGGAGGAACCAGGCACTTCGCCTTACATCAGCATCATTGTAACCTTCGAATTCACTTGTAGCTCACTTAATCTGTTCGATTTCTGTTTGAATTTGAGCACGGACCAAGTTCTAAAGCTCTTATTCTATAGATACTAAGAAGTAAATGGTTCAAAATATTGAATCGGATCGAAATTATGTCATGAACTCTATGAACATTCGTTTTGAAATCTAAATCACTGCGAAATTCAGTTAAACTTCTACACATCAACTAAAAAGCAATAAACAGACTAAAGTTTTTGAGAAATAAGAGTGAATCTCAAATAAGCTCGGCTGCTTCCACGAACGAAAACAACCTATGTATGGCATTGTATTATCTTCCTCTAACAAAGCCTGGCTCTAATGAGTGTTTTTTCTCAATCGGAGCATTATTTACTTCTGCATATGCCCATACTGCAAACTGTAGCTTTTTTTGCCGCAATATCACAGACAGAGGCATGGCGTAATCTTATCGGTCCAAATCGTTCCACACCTGATAGCCTTTGGATAACGTCTCGAACTTGAACAACTAACATGTAGATATAAGAAGAATCATTGAATATAAGAATAATAAATAATATCAATAATTCAATCGTAAATTAATAATAAGCAGTGCTGCAATCAAAATTCCATCTTACATTCATTTAGTGGAAGTACAAACGACGAAGAAACCCACAAGTTCCGATTCTATAAGCTTTTCTTTGCGATCTTTTCATTTAAATTGATTGAAAAAATTTATAAGTGTAATTCTCTAGCAATCTCTTGATTTTTTCCATAAGAAAAGTGCAAAAAAAANAAAAAAAATAAATAAATAATCATCAATAGAACTAATCAATCATTCAAAACGAATGCACTCCCTTCATGTCGAAAATGGATGGAGAGGCTGAACGTTCTGAAAGTGGTTAAAAAATATCCTTATCGAATTATCTAGCAGACAACTTATACTCCGGACATGAATGTGAATTACTTGAGTGTTGAAGGATTTCCGATCTTGTCAGCAGGATGGAGCCCCTATCAACTACATTGTCTTATGGATTTTTTGAGGCCTTCGATCGGCTGCTCCTATTTAAAATGTGTTCCTTAGATCTAGGAATTCTAGGTATTTAATTATTTATAAAGTTATATTTCGCTGATTATGAATATTTTCTGGTGATCACATTCCAAGCTGTAGTTGGACCAGTTATTTCTGGATAGAAAAAGTTGAAATTCTAAATGTTTTATATTCTGAATATTGGAATATCCATGTGTAACACTGACCTTCTCGTACCCACGTAATAAATAAAGCTTGTGAAGAAGGGGACATTGAGCCCAAATGCGCTTGGAAGCGCTTTTATGCCTTCCCTGTGCTCTTTCTAGAGGAGTACTATGCTGGCATTGATAGTACTGATGGCTGGCATTCCACTTCCGAATAGGAATGAGTCAATGATCAATTAAATGTTCACTTATCTCCCACTCCAGCTTTATGCATGGAAATAACATCTGACCTGTCCCGCTGCTCCTCCAATCCTGATAATCTATTTTTAATCATCTCATAACTATCTCAAGCTTTTCGCCTTATATTATTTCACCCTAGATAGAAGATCCCAGTTAAAAGTCGTTGCTGCCCTATGCAGGTACAATTCTATGGTATTTCAAAAACCATGCGCACGATCAAAAAGAAACTTTCGGCAACGGAAACACAAAAAATGGCAGATGCCGCAATAACGAATTAAATTTCAACAAAGCTAACAAAAACAACGTTATGATTACGAGTGAAATGACTACAGCGGTCAAATTCCCCTCTCATTGTCAGTACTTTCCCACAACTGAGGTTCTGTACCAGGTGATTTTCCCTGAGTGGGTAAGTGATAGTGGATATGTTGGTTGACTCGAAAATTCTATTCAACAGTAATTCGCTACACCCACACAGTCCACAATGCTGATGAATTGAAATTGGAATATTCCGTTTACTTATGTTTCTTATGAAAAGTTGGATGTGGGGCATATTATTCAAGGATTGACCAGCCCTAAAAAATCCCAGCCAGTTATTATTATTATTATTATTATTATTATTATTATTATTACTATTATTATTATTACCATTATTACTTCTTCTCCATTAAAGGGAAATTTAGATAGATTACAAAGCAAACGTTTTCATTTCAAATAATTTCATTGGTTCTCTTATGTTTTGAATTCGAGACGGACAAATACATACAACTAGGCCCTCTAGCATTCTCATTACTTTGAATCATTCAATTTCCTATAAAATATGAAGTTGCATAAACAATCAACTGAAACAAACGACCAAATTGCTTGAAAAAGGCACAAATTTATTGGAATTTATAGGCTTAAAAAAGAAAAGATATCACAACATCTGACGATTTGCTGTCAGGATTTGATTTTTGTGAAATAACAAAACGCCAACCGTCTTTATAGTCCAAATTGGGCTCGTCAAAATGCGTGCGGTCCTTGCGAAATGGCTTGGTGACCACAGAAATTCTATCGTCTTCATTGCCTCTGATAGCCGATTTGGCACGATTTCGTGCTAAATCGTGGGCTCGCGCTTTGTTCACATCGTAGTTGGGTGCAAATCGTGGTGGAGGTGCATTCAGACGACATTTGGGCGAATTCCAGTCCATCAGGCACAGAATCGGCAACACCGTACTGGTCATGATCATCCTCCATAGGGGGCGTGACCTGGCTATGATGACGTCATCGGTTTGTAAATAAACGATCGAGTTACTAACGATGTACAGAGGTACCGCTGGTTGAGTAGGTGAGAAAGAGACATGCCAATTGGGATTTAGCGTTCTCTGATTGACAAGAATAAGAAAAAGATTCATAGAGGATGAAGGACGAAAATCGAATTTTACCCGTCAAAAGAAGCAGGAGCCTGAATGGTAGCAGTATGTGAGGATGAATGAGCTGAGGGTGGGCACTGACTGGCAGTTATGGGAGATGAATGCCGTTTGTGCGTGATAATGAAGTGTGCCTGTGCTATCTATTCTTTTGGTCCAAGAAGATTTATCCATGGCTGGAGAAGACGGCAATCTAATAGGCTACACTTGATTCCCTCAAACCCCGATTCTGAGTATGGCAAGTGAGAGGGGAGAAATGCAATTCAATTTGTGAGTTCATGAAGAGGGCTCTCGACTCTCACCCATTCAAAAGTTAGCCTGGTGCATGATTCTTTGCACTAGTAAAGGACACAAAGTGATGCTCGTTTGCTCCTCTTCAAAGTTCAGGCGTATGTGGGCAGAAACGGCATGCGTTACAGTGCAGTAGTGTCTAGTTGGAAAATTCTAGACAGGTTACCTCCCTCCTCACTTTCTAAGAGACCTGTTGCCCTTGTACCCAACTGAGTTATGATCTCTACTATTTATTTTACATCCAATACTTACCTAGCCTGTTTACCCGTCGCCAGAGGATACTCCAAGTGGGAAATGGTAGTAACTTCGTTAACCCCAACCTCGAACGAAATTTCGGTTACTTCATAAACCCTTGCTAGCTATTGCGTCTATCAGCAACTGCATTTACAACAAACAGTTCTAATTCGAATGATGTCATTCTTCAGAGGGCTTCTTCTGGGATCATTAGGAGACAGTAGGCGTTGGTTTTTGAGCCCCTCATTGTGCCCCATCAAGACCGCTTTTTACCCTGACAATGCCCAATGCAATGCTTCCAAAAGACTTTGATTCCCACGGAAAAGAAATTCGCGAATTATTTTTTATCGCGAACTACGTCTTGAGGACGAAAAGGACAATCTGAAGCGAGCATAACAAACGACAGAGCAAAAGTAAGGCCAAGCAAAAAGGGCTGAAATTTATGTATGAAGTAGTAGCAGGATTGGAATACGCGCAAAAGGCGCATTGGAAGAAGCCTCCCACAAAAACAACTTACAAAAAACACACATATGGCTGCGGTTTTGATGAAAATCTCTACAAAGGAATCATAAAAAATGGCTAACCATCTGGTGAGGGGATATCTCAAAACTCATTATGGCGATGAGTCCGTCAGGATTGATATCCGTGCTTCAGGGCCTACAGGAGGAAAACAGAATAACAGGAAAGTCAGTAACTAAGAGCGAATGATTGATTACATTACTACGAAGTAGGTTAGGCAAGTTGTAATTGCTTTTACACTATACAAAATTGCTCTTATATAGCAGTTATATAAAGTAAAATGTGTAACGCTCAAGTTTGAATCACTACTTTAACTTCAAAAATAGTAGTGAAAATAGCACATAGAGCATTGAGCCTCAGAAGGTACCCTATTCTGCAAGTGCTGCCCTAATCACAAACACAGCCCTCTCAGAAAAATGGCTGTATTCTACTGTGAACCATAACATTACCAAGTAAAACATCCCACATCATGTAAAAGTAGAATCGAAGATTCTGCCAATTCTCGAGAAGAAAGAACGTAGACAAAGAATACCGAATGAAACGAACTCGGGTGAGATCAGAATTCCACGGGATGCCTGCGTTTGAACCAGCGTTCATATTAGTGATAAGAAATTCAAGAGCACTCGTAGAGATCTTCCTTGTCAATTGCCATGTGAGTGACGAATGCCCGACGAGTTGTTCCCATCAGCCACTTACTGAAGACTATGACTCATTGTGTTCTAATGTTGCCCTCTCAGACATTCTCCTAATCCCCCAGACAATGAAAGCAAGATGCCGTAAGCTCTAAGAGCGGTCAGAAGTGGCACGGACGTCATGAGACAGCCTAAAGCCAACACCTTTAACTAATTCTACTCTGTCTCTGTCTCTGGAGATTCGCTACAGATTGGTGGTCTTTCGGACAAAAAACAAAGAAAAAGAAGTTGTTCAACGTCGTTTATAGGATTTCGTTATAACGGGATCAATACAGGCAACTATCAACTATCCTTTTCCAGAATGAGCTACCACTCGCAATCCAGAAACCCGATTTGATGATCTTCTGGGGCTTCAGATCAGCCTCTCCTCATCACCGCTAATAAATGAACTGTTACGACTAACTGGGACGATTCGACGAGAAATTGGTGAATGACCGAAGAAGTACAATTTATCTATTTTCTTGTCTTAACTATGGGTGTCGAGGAAACAATATTGCAGTTTCCGGTCGTAAAAGCAGATTTCAATCTCGAAATCTCAACCCCCCTAAAGACCACGCCGGGACCAATGAGAGGCGGTAGGGGAACTATCAATCGCTCTAAATATAAACCTTCATTATCGCATTCAACCATCATCATTAGGAAGGAGCACTGAGGTCGGTAGACCTGTCGCAAATCTGTCGGTACTACGAAGTACTGCAATCACACTGCATTCAGCAAACCTTTCGGCAAATCATTTTCATGAGATCAGTTAGGAATAACCCAAAAATCGTTATACGCTTCACTAGCGATTTTGGATTATGCACTACCCCGGAAGGAGTTAAGGACCGCCTCCGACATGGGCTCCATAGTTCCCCTTTCAGAGTCTTTCAATAGGTTTGTAGCTGTCTAGTAAAAAGCCGTTCATGAGCATTCAAAGCCGAAAGCTGGCAACCTGCCCACCCATTTTAAAGGGGCCGTTTTCACGCATGTGTGGTTGATTTTTAACTCCTAAAATTATATTTCACCAATCCATAGTAACGCTTTGGTTTCTTTAAAAATAGGATGTTTCTGGTAGTAGTTTCCACCCGCCAGAAGCTCAACGGGGAATACTAGAAGAAAACGGCACTTTGAGCTCCAATACTTCAAATGTATAGGGAGCAACATGATTCCAGAGGGACTCGTCTGGATCACAGAATGAATAGATAGATTTATTTAGGTCGCCGCGAATACTGTATATTTAATGCATAAATAAGCATTTTGATTAATCGTACCCTGCTATCCGCAATAATTGTGGGGAAAATTGAAATGGACGGAATCTATTCATCAAGTCACCTGACTCGTTAATAACCGAGACCTCTATCTATCAATACATTTCTAGAATTTCCCGCTTTTTCACGCAAAGTACATCCAACTCTTTGAAACTTCTTTACAATTTTACGTAGGTAATTTCCTTCTACCCGAACCACGTCAGGTTCTTTTCGCCTACCAAGATACCTGGAGTAGAGGCTAAGCGAAAAAAGGTAATGGATTAGGAAGTTCTGCTTGCTGATCTGGAAGAAGGCCAGCTTAATGGGCGAGAAAGTTTTGGTTTGAAGTAATCGGTATGATTCCTCGCCTAGAGGATCGGCGATCGTTTCCGTTCACCTTGGATCTTGGTCTTGGGACTACGAGGGTGATTGCGGAGAGCATGACAACTTGGTTTCGGTTGAATGACAATAATAACGGCATCTATAGCCGTACACCTTGACTTCACGGCTTTTAAGGGCTTCAACAAAGGCTGTACAGAGGAACGATTCCGAGGAATGTAAACTTCGAATGGGTTGGGAAAGGCGCGAAAAGTGACGCTTTCGTTGTCAAGGTAAGCAAAAGTCAATCGAAGTGGAAGCCCTTCAGAAAGTGCAACGTCACCGTCGAGGCTGGACTTTGTCGAGGCTGGCGAGATCCAATGAAGAGGCAGCGACAACGGCGATGACGACCAACCTCATAAAAGGCAGTTGACAATTCGATTCGATGACCACATCGAAATTTTCGAAGCATGAAATATTCCTACTTGATAAAAACCAAACAGAACTTTGAAGCGGAGTAGAGTACAGCGACCTCAGGCCCCGCCTTATTTGTCCTTTAATGTACCGATAATTATGTTCGGTTATGAGAGCAAATGAGAAAATGGGAACGATTGCAGCGCTCACAGACTGTTTTTTTTCAAGCAAAAAAGAGATATTATTTATGGGGAGTACAACAACATGTTGAGGAAATTTTCCGAGTAATGCACTCTAAATGAATTTAGCAAAGAACTGATCAATGGACTATGTGATTGCAGCCCTCGCTAGAATCTACAAATTCAGACAAGTTACAAAATCCCTTAAAAGCGATCTCGAGAAAAAGATCAACACCCAGAAGAACGCAGAGGTTCACTGGGCCTTCAACACGGTGCACTGCTCAGGGAACTGCAATGATTCATCTTTGAAGGAGATTCTAATCGCAGTCAGCTTTCTGGAAAGGAACGACAACTAGCAGAATCAAACACTAAGCAGTCTAGCTCCCCTGGGAATAAACCAATGTTCATCAAAAGTGCAAATGAAAACCTAAAACGAATGAATCATTCAAGGAGCTTTCACAGGTGAATGGACTCCTTTTCGAGAAGAAACCGATTTAGATGCAGGTGAACGTCGAACGACGGCTTCGAGAGGTGTGCCAAGGTCCAAAGAAAGAAAGAATCGACAGCAGGAGAGGTAAGGTCAAGTACTCAACAATGAATTGTTAAAAGAAAAGAAAATAGAAGTAGTAGACACGACTCGATTCTCCTTTTCCACAGACGAACTATGCTTTTAAACGTGCCCCTATGAATTCGAAATCCTAGATGAAGTGATCCTTCGAGACATTTCTCACAATGGGAGGGAGTAACGCAGACCTCTAGCTACATCAAGAACGTGGTATTCACAGTTTACCCACTGAGTCAATGAAAAATGCGGGTTATCCTATAAGAAAACCAAAGAAACTTACAAAAGAAATCTCGCTGAAACCATAGAAGTAGCAACGAGTCTTTTTTTGTGCCACTATGCGATATAGCACCATTCCGTAAAAAAAAGACCAGATTTTTATGAAACAAATATTGTCTTGACACTGGGTTGTCTTGACACTGGGGAAGTTCGAATATTTGCTGCCTCGAACGATATTGGCCTAGCCTTGTCCAGAAATGAGTGAGAACTGCAGTTTTTCAACATGTACCTTTCATAAAAAAGATTGTTTTTGGTCTTTAAGCCTTACTTTTAGACATCTAGTAAGGGTGCAATTTCGATGAAGAAGGAAAATCCAGCTTTTTGAGACGACGCTGTGCAAATGGGGCTAATCGAATAAATAATTGCACTTAAGAATAACGACCATCACAAGATGTCCTCGTATGGTTATGGTCATAGAAACAAGCTTGAGAGCCTTCTGATGGGCGTGGTCAGCCAAAAAAGTTCGCAAATTGCGGCATAGTTCATCCATGAAGCACAAAAAGTCATCTGATGGATGATGTAGCGGCGGGACAGCAGCACCAAGAACACAAATGTCGGCCGGCCGCTTTGATTCAATTTCGTTGGCAACGTGAGGCTTCAGTTTTCACTAAAAGAGAGTCGATTAAAGACGACTGCGATTCAAATTTCGCTGTTGTTACTTAATTCCGCCGCACGCGGAGTCGTTTCGCCGCCCGCGACGAGATTAACATAGAACGGCTTAGGGGATCGCCGGGGGTTCGACTCGATTAGCGCCTTTTGGCAGACGAGAGGCTAAAGATTACTGCTCTCACTTGCACATGTCACACGCATTAGTTGTCAAAGGCAATATATTTGCTACTGAAGCAGAAAACGCTGAAGAGGAACGATTAGTCAGGAAAAAAGCTTGGTAGAATACGAATAGAGAATGAAAATGGGGTTCACTAAGCTTTTGAAGAAAGGAAAGTGCTGGTCGGACAGAAAAAAATCCGACGCAGACGTAAAGCCTGCCAGGGTTGAATGCCACCCAACTCGTCCCTGGGGAATTTCTCCCAAGCAGCAGCGAGCGACTCACTATGCTA